CTTTTCAGGTTGTCATTAAGTGGGAGCCTAAGTAAAACCAATGGTGTAATCCCCACAAAATTGATTTCATTCCTGAACAAGTGAGTGAAAGGAGGGCATCAAATCCCAAATGCTGCTATCCCCAGATAGGTTTAGACCCAGAATAGATCCATGATTATAACTTTAGTATGAAGAACCATCTCTGATGCCTCTCAAATAGGAAAACTGTAGAGCAAAAGAGGTCCTGACTTCCTTGCACTCTCCCTGGCATCTGTTGAAATAAACCACTCAACCTTACAAACTGCAGCCATGTGACATGAGTGCACATCAGATGGAGAACCCAAGCTGGACGATTTTAGGTGGTAGGCAGGTTAAGCTTTCCACTTWAAGGGGGTTTTGTGTACAAAAAAATGAGGCATGGAGCTGCAATGAGATAAAATAGACAATGTGCTCTGAGCTTCACTCCTGGTACAAGAGCACAGGAGACCCCTCCACCACCTGAGTCTGGATTTGACTCCCTGCTGCCCAGTATATGACAATGAAAAGAGAAAATAGATATGCAAAGTGATCAAATGTCCACAGCTGGCTGCTCGCCTCAAGCTGAGAAGAAAGTGGAGGAAGTCTGATATGGTGTCTATTGTAACCTCATGAGGGCTCGTAAGTTATTCTCACTTGATATTTGCCTTTCAGCTCTAGAAGAAATGAAAAGGTTCCCATTTCAGACCGACTGAAGTTGTCAGAGAAGCATCCAGTTCCCTCGCAAAGTGCTGTGTCATTAAACGTGAGAGAAAAGATTAAAATAGGAAATTCTATCTCCTGACACTCTTGGCATTAGGCAGTCCCTTAGCACCACTGCAGACCTGGACCTTCATATTTTGTCTCATGCATTGGCTCTGTCTCATCTTTTGTGTGTTTCATCCCTTTCTTGCATTTTCTTGAGGTAGTGGGGACACGTTTCACCTTATTGTGTCTCCTTTCAAAAAGAATGCTCCAAACCTGGTAGTTAACAACAGACCAACTGCTGAGGGGCTCTAAGGCCGGTATCACTAGGAAATTAGGTGATAACGACCAGGGTAGCTGTGTAGGTCTGAGGCAGAGCCAGGGTCATTAACACAAGGCAGGTAAACTCAGCAAGAAAGGAGATGTCTTGCAAGGCAAAAGGTTAACAGCATGAYGCATATGGCCTCAGTTCCCTGGGGAATAACTTGTCTGCAGCTGCAGTAGGGTTAAACTGCTGATAGAGACTGAGTCATGTGCCTTTTTTTGTCTGAAGTTGGTGCAGGTTGACTAGTCTTAGAATAATTTATTTTTATGTGCATGGCCTTGGTGTGACATATATATATTTTTTTCCATTCCYATCATTTCCAGAGAGAGGAGCTCAAAGCCATAATGGACTGGAGTCAAAGGGGACAGGGACATGCTGGTCTGACAGTGCAGTCAAGTGCTGCAAAGATTTTTAGCTGTGGTGTGTGCAGGCTGGTAACACCCAGCAGCTTAAAGGCAAATTKCAATACATATAGATGCCTTGCTTTCAGTGCTGCTTTTCTTGCTCTAATTTGTAAGTGGCTATCACGGCAGGACAGGGTGAAGTGAGAAGAGAGTATTTTTATCTTCCATTTGGCTTCCTTTCAGAGCATTTCTTGTTTCCTTCTTCCTGCCTCCCTCCTGTTAATGCTCACCACACGGATGGAGATGCCGTCCAGAGCTCTCTCTGGGAGGACAAGGAAGGGGCACAGGATGGGTTGTACATTCTGGCTCAGGCACCGGCTGTGTAAGTGCAATGAAACCCAGCTCTACACCAACCAGAATCGTGACCATGTTCAGTCCTCATCGTGAGGACTGAACATGAGGAATGTCCCACAGAAATGAGAATGGCTACCATGGAAATTGCTTAGCTGTGACAGAGCCCAAGCTACAAGGATCCTACCTTCCAAGACCTCCTTTGGCTCTAATCAAGGACTCTGACAAGTGAATTACAGCCTTTGTATGCAAAGCAGCAAGTCACAAGCCTTGTTCTTGAAGTAAATGCCAAATAACTTGAGTTCTCTTCAAGCCCGGGATGAGAATATGAACAGGAGGACAGACTTCTCCACGCTGTCTTTAAAAACGATCTGCAAACATCTCTGCCAAGCCTCACAAAATCCAGTCAGGCCTTGCTAATCGCAAGTCTCTGTCTCTGCCTTGTTCCCCTCCCTCTCCTTCCCGTTTCCTTGAGCATGCCCAAGATTTATTTCATCAGTCTATCGAGATATCAGCAATGAGACAAATCAGATTTATAGGAGGACAAGACATTGCTACAAAGCCTGAGAGCTTGTGTGTGATGGCATTACTACCACATAGCATCACCGATTCATCACTAGACCCACAGCAATAACTTATACCGATACAAACCAACAGTATTGATGCAGCAAATCATTCAAGCTTCTGCCAAGTTATAAATTCTTTCCCTTTCCTCCCCTCTTCCTTGCTGTAGCAACATGATCGAAAGGGTAGGGAAGAGATAGGGGGAAGAAATTTTGCTTTTTGTTTTATCTCAAGGCAGTGAGACAAGAAAATATTCTTCAAAATCAAACTGCTTTCCATGGGACTTTGTACAAAAGGCAGAGCAGACAGACAGAAGGTACAGACAGACTGGGACCCCCATGAAATTGCAGCATTACAGGCACCTGTCCTGCTGTGATGGTCACTCTGTGAGTAGCTGGCAGCAGGATGGGAGGGCACATCTGAAGCAGGAGGCAGGGGAGAAAAAAACAGATATTCTGTAATGGAAATCCCACAGATTTTTAATAACTACAGAGAAAGTAATAGAAGCATAATGACCTCTGTGGATTTGCTGGAGATTAGGATCTGATCACATCTGCTCATGCAGGCTGCTGGGGGTTATTCTGGCATACGTGAGGATTCTGACTATCCCTGCCCATTCGCTATATCCTTTACTTCTGAGTTCATCCCAGGCCTTCAGGAGTATCTCTAGCCCCTTAATCTAAACCCTAGCTACATGTTAATTTTTAAGACTCTGCTATGCTCTGTGTCTTGCACAACATGCTTGTGCGCATCTTGTTGTAATCACTGTTCTGGTTTTGCAAAGTTGCATTGCAGAGTTTCAGAGGTTGACCCCAAAGCTTCCTCACCACTAGCCACAGACAGGAGGACACGGTGATGATTGGTTGAACTATGTAATCATGATTGTTTGATCTATGTAATCAATGCAAGAACTACTGCTTAGAAACATGGGTCTGTCTGCTCCCAATGCAGGAGTCCCAGCACTGGGGTGACTACCAGTGTAGGCTGAGGGAGGGCAGAGCAAAGGCGAAGATGTGGCTCTGGGGTATCTACTCTAATGATCACATTTCTAGTGATCAATCTGACTGCAGATGGACTCAAAACTCACTCCCTGAGCAGCAGAGAGAGTTAAAAAAGCTGGTGGCCTTGGTTGCTTTATGAAAGTTTGGTCCTCCTTAATATATCCTGCAGGGTTAGTATGGCTAAAGCCATTACCATGCATGTGCTCAAGGCAACTCCTATCAGTGATGGGCAACTCTGTTTCAAAAATGGGCTTAGATCACATTTAGCTGCACAGCATAGACACATCTTGCCTTAAAGAAGATCCGTGGCTAGCTTGAACACTGGAACCCTGATTGCCCACCCTGCATAATACTTGTCTGGTTCCCTGGCTTTCATTTTGAYCACTCCAACTACTTTTCCCAAAGTCTAGTCTTTTCTGGAGAAAACTCACCCAAGTGAGGCATCATTCTTGGTTTCAGGGCCAATGATGAGTCTTTTGTCCTCTTTTATCATTCTCAATGTGTCCTTTTATTATTTTTGTTTTGAAGCAGCGACTGCTGACCACTATTGGAGATGGCTTAGACCTCTATTTTTTGAAGATTCACCTGTTATCTTCAATAGGTCTACCAAACATTGGTGAAAGGAGTTTAAATAACACATCTTTTATGTGATGTCACTTAAATGGCAGAGAAAATTTTCCTCATTAGYGACTGGCACAGATATTGTGTCTCATTCTCTCCCATCACACAGCGGTCTAAATCAGGAATGCCTACTGCTGTTAGTGGTGTCATAGTATAACCATTATGAGAAAAAAATGCCTCGGTTCAAGTGTTTTCTGACTTCTCAGAGAGACAAAGAAGGTTTCCTTTCAATTCCCTCTCCTAGTTAAGGAAAAGAATATCTCTATGTGCTTCTATTTCTTCACTGACATCAAACAGCTGAGGTTCCTAGGGGTGCTTGGAGGTCTCTGAGGATGTTTTGTAGTTACCAGATTCCCTGTTGTGCAATTCCCACCTTTGTGTAGATCTTTAAATTTGCTAGTTCTTCTTCAGATCTTGGCTATACCTCCTACAAGGTTCCTTGAAAAAAGTTCATGGAGAACCCTCCATGATACCTGTACGTTTAATTGGTTGTCAGAAACTCCTAGCGAGGGGCTGCAAGCTCTCAGTTTTCATATGCTTCAACTGCTGTTTCTTGAGGTTGTGAGACTGCACGAGAAATTCAGCAATTTGTTTTCCTTTATAACAGTGAGAATATAACCTTTGATCTCACAGTGAGAAGTCTAGGAGCCTTCCTAGGGTGTAATCTTGATGCTCAAAAAGCAGAAGGGGAAAGAAGAGATGAAACAGTGCAGTATTTTCAACCAATCTCATGATGTTTTTGAAGTTTAAAAACATTATTAAAAATTGGCTTTGGAAATGCCACTCCAGCATTTAGCTTTCCAGTAATGTCAAAGGAAAAGCACTTGCTGATACTTGACATGCAGATGTGCCGGAGACCCTCATTTCTCTCCTGCTCTGACCTGTCATAATGCCAGATCCTGCCCCCACCTCGGAGCTACAGATATCTCATCATGCTGCACCAAAATGCAGTCATCAGCTTTGCCCACCCACCCTTTACTTTCCTGGGGCTCAAGTCCCTCCARCCAGAGTCTCATAACTTCACAACTTCTATAGTTTCTGTTCCTAATGTGCTGCCCATTTTCTAGCCAATGGACTGAATGCCTGGCCCCACACCCCTGCTCTGGTCGAATGGTTCCACATTAAGCTGCAGGAGGAAAACAGGAAGCAGAGTGCATTTCCATGAGCTCCAAGTAGGAGACGCAGGGAAAAAATAGTTAAAAAGCCTCCTAGAACAATAGTATTTCCCACTTCTCTCACACTCATCCCTCTTAAATCATTGGTCTTTTGGGGGAATACAGAAAAGTCAACAGTCAGTAATACTTCTGATTTGTAATGGTAATACCTTCTGCAAAGCTTATACCTCTGCCTGCCTTTGCTTTTCTCCCTATCCTTATCCCGTATTCCATTCTGTAACTTACCATATGGAAGACTCCGAGGGCGACTGTTGCCATCTTGGTGTTGAAGCAGCAACATTTTGGGGGCTCGATGGTCTTCGGGACAGACATTTTTTGATTCCTGTGCACAGCTGTGAGTTAATGTGGTTGAATTTGCAGCATCCGCCCRACTGAAAAGCGAAGAGAGCAGTGCAGTTCAACTTCCTTCCTGGTCTAGAAATGTGTTAAGTCATCTACAAAGTCACATGAGGTCTTTGATTTCTCAATATTAAAGAAAGCAAAATTTTGTTGCTTTTCTAAATATCTTGAAGCTGCTTGCGCTTCTCAGATGGCAAATGTAAGCAAAAATGCTGCTTCACGCAGGTGGTGTCCAATTAGCAGGGAGCACAGGGAGAGAAGGGCTACGAAGCAGGATACATCTTTGTCCTATAAAATCATCAGAAATTATAGCAGGGCACTGAGAATTTCACCTTAAACTTGACCTACTGTTTTTGCAGTGAGGCATCCAAATTCCAAGATTTGAAGCAGCTCGTTCCTTGCCAGCTAGCTCCCTGTCGCTCCTTAGGGCAGATGCATGAGAAAACCTGTTCTCTGGGACCAGAACAACGGCAGAACTCTGAGGGTCAAGGATCTTGGCTGACAGGGGACTTCTCTTTGTTTGCAGTTTGCTGATGTGTTTTGTAGTAGTCAGCCCTTGGATAAGAAAAGCAAGAAAAAAGAAATCAGAAACCAAGTATCATTCTAAAGTGACTTAGCCACAATGCAGTATTCCAGGCTGCTTACTCCATTTTAATTTACTAAGCTGTGGTCTTGACTACATATTTATTACCAGTCTCATTAACTCTCATACTTTTTCTTTCCTTTTCCCCACATTCTGGGGCAGAAAACCTGTGGTTTAGTTCTGAGAATGAGATTGATTTGAGTTTCCGGCTTCCTAGAATAGGGCTTTAGTGCAAAGGGAGGGTAGCAATTCCACAGCAAACCTGGGTGTAAATGCAGATAAATGTAATGAGAGAGTTGGGCATGGTCTAAGCAAGCTCTYAGGGAACTTGGGTACAAGGAGACCTCATTTCAGCAACCCAAACACTCTTCATTCATTGCTTTCTTCTCAAAATTGTGTGACAGGGCCTTGCACAGCTTAGAGAGTTTTCTTAATTGCTCCTATGAACTTAAAGGCAGAAATTCCACCTCAAAGCCATGAAATGAATACATTCTGCAACCCACTTACTCTGTAGAAAGTGCTACATGTCCAGGTATGCTGTGTTGGAACCTTCAGGCTCCATAAATGGGTCTTTCCAAAAAGCATGGATGTTCCCAGAGCCTTGTTTTTAGGCAAAGCCAGTAAGTTTGGGTAGTGTTGATGTGAAATATGAGGAGCTGCTTCATGTCCCTAGAGAAACTGCATCTGAGAGAGTGCATAAATTTAAAACTTAAACCAGTCCATTAAAGCAGGGCTATGCCTTTATGTCCAGCTTCCCTGTACAGAACAAGAGATCTCTGCAACAGAGAAGATATTTTAGGGCAGGACAGGGTCAGTGCAGCTTGACCTTGTTGTGTATTCCCATGGTTTTCTTTGGACTCTCACCAAATTCAGCAGTTTAGTACTGAAGTCCCAAGTTTTGGAGTCATCTGGTTCTTGCTCTTTTATTTTTTAAGCACACTTTGGAGTTTCTCAACATTGCCCTTGTGGGAAATTGTATGCAAACACAAACTAAGTGCAGCTGAACGGAAGAAGACAAGGGAAAGGACTTTTTGTGCTGTTTGGTGATTATACTGCTTTTTAGCCTATCTTCTAACAGGATGGGGGCAGGAGATGGCTTTATTCTCTTAGAATACTCAGTGGCAGCACAGACACTGCACTGTGGTTCACAGAAGCCTGAAACCACCCTTGGTGACCAGCTCTGAGCTGGAACCTTGTGCTGTGATGGAGCAACTTGGACTATTGCAACTACACTCCTATCTACGCTGTTTTCCTGGTTTTCCAGCAGGCGAGTTGCCCATGCTGGGCCACGTCCTTGCTCTTCCGAGTCAGGAGTGAAAAAGTCTGTTAGGGCCTTGTGAAAGGATCTCTGAAATTACAGTGTTGGCAAAACATGGCAGCAGTGGAGCAGGTTATATTTCTGCAATCAATACCAGACCTGCCTAGACTCTGAACAGCTCCAGATTTCAAGGATGTATTTTTTTATACAGAGGAAATTAAAAATGTGTTTGTTCCCACTCTTTCCAGGTGTAAGTTTTTACAGAATCCTCCTTTCTATCCATCAGGATGAAAAATCAAGTAATGTCTGCAGAGCATAGCTATAGGTATCCCATTACAAGATCTCCTGCACTTTCCTTCCTTCAGATGCAAAGGCAAATTCACAGCAGCAGCCCAGAAGTGCTTCTACCAGTTAGATTTTTGTCATTTATAGAAGTAAAGATCAGGCTTTATCGCAGTTTTGAAGGGTTTGGGCTGAAACCCCCAGGATGGCATCTACTGATTGTTGAAAAGATAGATTTTTCTGTCAATACTTCTTTTAGTATGAAGAGAAATATTTCCAAAGCTCTTTAACCACTGAGGGGGTTTCTCTTATTTTGTTTCAAGTACAGTCGATGAGGTTTTGATACTTTGGTTGTTTCTTTTAACAAAACAAAACAAAAACCTAGACACTTCTGGAGATTTGTGACCCCTGCCCTGTGGGTGGGTGTTGAGTAACTTCGAGAAGCTCAGTGTGACACTTGAGGTCTCGCCTGTTATTTTACTTGGTCTAATTTTAGGTAGGATGAGGATCTCTCTCAGGGTCAGGACCTTGCTCTCCCGTGACCTTCTCGCCACGTGAGGCAGATGCTTCTGCTGCTTCCCACACAGCTGCTGATGCTGCCTTGCTGGTTGCCTCTGCCTTGGAGCCCTCAACTTGAAATCCTTAGAAAATCCTTAGAATCCTCCTTGAAACCCTAGAAATTCATAGGTCTGTGAAAAATTCATATCCTCCTACTAGTGATAGGCTTTATACTGGTAAAATCAACTCTTTAAAAAACACAACTTCTACCTCTCCAATCAACATAATGTGGAAGAGAAAAATCTCTGCGCAGGTATAAACTACATTTCTGGAGATAGGGAGAAGCAGGTTTACTAGGAAAGTCTGTCTGCCAAGAGTATTTCATTTTATTCCTCCAGATAATATGAGGTAATGTTATGAATTCATACTTGCAGACACACACACATACGTATATGTTTTATTCCAAGCAATATCTTGATTACAGACTTTTCTCTAGTCTCTCTCGAAAGCTCCATGACACCATAGGGTAAAGAGATGAAGGTATGTGAGATACACAGAGAAGGGCTGCTATATGTTGATGGACCTCATACGAGGTTTTGTCTGAATGCTACTGCTTTTGAGTTGTTTTTACAATACATTACTTATGACTAATAACTAGTAGTTTTCTGTTGTCACTTTTGGTTTTCTCCTTTCTGGTGCATGTTCTTCTGACTGCAAATGAAGTTGCTTTAGCAGATTTCACCTCACCCCAGACTCACAGGTCAACACCTGTAGAAAACCTTGGTTTCTCACTGACCCCACGGTGGCTGAGGGATAGAAACAAGAACAGGCTTGTCTCAGGTCTCTGGGCACATCATGGTAAAAGACTGAAAGAGCCTCTAGCTACTGGACAAAAACCATACTCTGGTTACTAATATATACTGATGGATCCACAGGAGAGCATGAAATTGAGATCTTTCCACACTCAGGGTGCAGCCAGAGACAAGTACTGAAGTCAAGGCGAGCACCACTATCGCTGGAGTGATCACAGCTCCGGGGCCAACGAGAGCCAAGTTGAACCACAATAATGTCCGGAGCACCCCTGGGGGAATTTGGGAAACCAAAAGAAAAATATTTGGTTTTAAAAATTGATCCCTTTAAACTTCTTTCATTTACAAATCTGTTGCAAATACAAGCTTTGCTTTACCTTCACCACCTGAAATATATTTTCTTTGGGGGTTGCCTCTCCTCAGAGCCGGTTTGTGGGTCTACCTGAATGAGGGTGCAGAAGGATCAACTATTTCATGCTAATATGAAAAGCTGGTTCATAATTTGAACCTGACTTTCCTTGAAAAGTGTACTTTCCCTTTGCAATCCCTCCCTGTCCTTTTAGAGGTAGACAGAGGCTTGCTTGTGAATTTGAGCATACCATACCCAAACTTAGCTCACAATGTGTAAAAACAAATAGCAAGTGTGGCCCAGGCTGGGCGATTGGCTTCAAATAGCCCTGCACTGCCTGAATGTGGCTGCATATTTGGCCTGCACCGTTATCCTGAGTGGCCCCTTTCAGGCCGTGGTTTGCATACCAGGCCTCTCAGACACCAGACTGTTGCTGCAAGATCAGCATTGCAGGAAGCTGGTCTACTCTAAGGAACACTGCCCTAGGTTTTTTTTTTTTCTTTTTTTTTTCTTTTTTTCCTGGAGTTTTGGATCTATATTTTACATGCTTTTCGGAGCGTTGCCTCTGCCTCCTTCCTGGAAGCAATTCCAGGTGGGATCTCTCCTTTGAGAGGTCTCAGTTCTTCACCTTCCCACTCTGCAGCCCTAAGCTTTACGCTTGACTAACAACCTGCTGCAGTGAAGAAACCTCTTATCAGCCATTTCTACAGAAAGTGTGTCGGAAAGACAGAGCTCAGCGAGCTACATGCGGGTCCATTTTTCCTCACAGGGCCAAGAGCAGCTCCTCTGGGTTCAGCTGCATTGCTTCTCATCCAGAGCAGAATCCAGCTGGAATGTAGGGCAGCCACTGTGAATAAATCAGAGTTGCCAAATTGCTTAGCTTACTCAGAAGAGCATTAATAAAGCCTTACGTTCCCTGTCTAAATCTTTATGCCTGAATCGTAGATAGTTTCAGGCGTGTGTTGTTCTATATTGGGATAACTGCTAAAGAAGCCAGAGTCCTGGAAGCAAGAGGTCAAGCTATAGAAAGACAGCACGTTTAGCCTGAAAGGCCTGTGCAGACTTTCCAGATGAGGAAACAAAGTACAAGCAAATTAAGAGACCTTTTCTCAGAGAAACAACCAGCCTACAGTAGAGCTGATTGGAGATAACCATCTCAAACATAAGCTTCCAACACCCTGCTTGTAACTCTCTCATTTCCACACCACCCTTGTGCTCTCTAGTTCCTGGGACTGCCTTTGTGAGTGGGAAGTGTTTCCTCTGTCCTTC